CCCCAAATGCCCGCAGAGCCCCCCAAAATCACGATTCACATCCCCAAACAGAGCACCAGTGATCCCCAGTCCAGCCCACTATGTGATAACAGAGGGCATTCCTCAGCACTTGGCCTGGAACCCGTGCCCCCCAAACCACCCTGTTCTCTGTCCCAAAGGAACCTCCTCGATGTGAGTCCCACTGTGGGGTGCTGGGACAGCTGATCCCAGAAACCTCGGCACTCATCCCCAGAAAGGACATCCATGCCTGCCTCGCTCTGCCTTTCATTGACCAAAACCCCAACTTTTGTCCCTTTTTTCCTCTCTCTCTTCCATCACATCAAGAGCCATGCTGCAGGGTAGGGTCATCACCGGGATGGTAGCACCAGGGACAATTTCACCAGCCCAGCCACGTCAGGCAGAGAGAGTTAACTGCAGCCTTGGCAAGACACACCAGACCCTGCAGGCTGGGAAATAAGTAATTCCTTCCTTGAAGCAACGGCAACGCCTCTTGGCTCCTTCCCCACTGTCCCATCACTCACCCACACAGGGCTTGTCCCAGCCTGGCATGGCAGGACAGGGGTACCTGACCATCCCTGTCCCCACTGACCAGCTCGTGCCCACACCCAGCAAGCCCTGGCAGGAGCTCATGGCCAGGCTTGGTGGTGCAGCCAGCCCGAGGTGCGGGTACGGCCCTACGGCCGCGTGTGCCAGTGGGTGCGGCGGCACAGCCCAGCCAGCCCCGCATCCCTCGGGTCCCTCCGGCCTGGCACCGTGCCCGATGCTGTCCTTCCCCTCCTCTTCTCCTGCCTGCCTGCCTCAGCCCCACCACAGCCAGCTCAGGCAGTGCTCAGGGCAGCTTCTGATGGGCACAAATCCGGGCATCCCGGGTGGCAGGGGAGCCAGCCTGGCACAGCCCAGCACTGCAGCCCCTCAGAAAGGCAGCTTTGACCCTGCCAGAGCCACAGGCCTGGTGTGAGATGATGGCAGAGCCACAGCAGACCCCTGAGTACCAGCACAGGCACTGAGCCCCATACAGAGGAGTATCCCCAGCACATTTCTCAGCAGAGGATCTGGATGGTCTTGAACTCTCTTTGCTTCACCTGTCTCACACCAGCACAGACACCTGCCCATGTAGCACCCAGACCCACTGGCACCAGCCAGGGCTCTGGACACTCATGTCCCTGCCAGGCTGGTCCAGCCAGATCCCCACTGCCATCCTGAAGCCCACCCTGCATGGAAGCAAGTCCTGGTCTGCCCTGGCCCCTTCCTCCTGTGGCAGGGGAGGAAATGCAGGGTGTGCACTGAGGGGGTCCCACACATCAGCAGATCACTGGCATTGAGGGGGCTCTGTGCCACTGGTGCTCCCAGCCCCAGCTCATGCTGTGACTTGAGATAGGAGCAGTGAGGAAGGCACAGGCACAGCCGGGCTCTTCACACCCTCCCCCTCTCCTCCACTTAATGGGGCAGAAAAAACAATTAGCTTCATAAATCCCGTTGAGGGGGTTGGGAGCTCCCCATGGATGTGGGCAGGGCGGGGCTCTGCATCTCCGTCACATCCACATCAGGAATCAGAGTGTAACAACACTCCCTGACTACCCTGATCTCCACAGCCCTGTAAACCCCTCTGTACCCTCCAGGATGCTCCCCTGCTCCCCAGGTACCCCCTCAGAGAACTCCAGCCCTACAGAGAGTCAGGCTACCTTGACCCTAGGTGTCTCCTGCTTGGATTTTGGGTACTGTGATCTAGCACCTTTCTCCAAAGCTGCACTCAGAGGAACAGGGGTCTGCAGAGATCCAGCAGATGGGGAAACTGAGGTAGGGAAGGGGGATCTGACTTGCCTGAGCTTCCCCAGCAGAAGAGGATCAACATCACATCCTGCAATTGATTCAGGACTCCATTCTCCAGGCAGCACTGCCTCTGGTCTCTGGCCCCCCAGAACCCTGAGGGGTGCAGAGGACTCTGCCACAGGAGCCTTGAGCGTGGTCCCTGCAAGGGGGACCAGGCTGTGCCTCCATCCCAGCTCTGCACCACCAACCTCAGTAACAGTGGGGT